CGCGCCGCCAGGGGGCGCTGCCCCGTTCCGCGCGCTCCGGCTGATGCAATCCCCGCGGGGCGTGGCCGAACGCGCGGTGGGCGGGGCCCCGGCGACACCGCCCAATGGGATGCAGCGACGCYGAGTGGGCGGGGCGAAGGCGGTGCCGCCCCGCCCCTCCCTCTGGGGGCGGGAAGCGCTGAGGCGGCGGCGCCGCCATTTTGTGCTGAAGCTGCCTCAGGATGGAGTCGAAACCCGAACCGGAGCTGCCCGTCGTACCCCGAGCCTTCAGACTCGCCGCCCCGCCACGGAGCGCCGCTCCACACGCCCCTCCGCACCGCTGGCAGCGCTGAACGGCCTCATGGAGGACAGCGGTCGCGAACGCGCCGGCCCCGGCTTGGGATGGGCCCGACTGGGCCTGGCCGGGGCCTGGCCGAAGCTGGCGGGGCCCAGCGCGGCGCCCGCCGGCGGCTCGTCCCAGGCGAGCCCGCCCTTCTCGTGGCTGCGGGTGGTGTCGCAGCTGCTGTCGCCGCTGCCCGCCCTCCTGCAGCGGCTCCTGCCCGGCGCCTCGCTGAGCTCCGCGCTGTGCCCCGCCAAGGCACCGCCGCCGCTGGTGCTGCTGCCGAAGGCGGACACCTCACTGGACTGGGCCGAGGAGGAGCCCCCGGAGAAGCGGYCGGAGGGCGGCTTGGAGCCCCCGGYGGGACTGTGGGGAMCCGGGCTGGTGCGGAGCAGCCTGGGGGCCCTTCCCATGGACTGGTACGTGCTGGGCTTGGAGCAGAGCAAGAGCCACCTGCCCCAGCCCTTGCGAGCCGAGGGCTTGCCCGAGGTTGAGTTCCTCCGCAGCAAGCGCCTGGCGTTCCTCCAGCGCTGGCATCTGCCCGTGCCCGACCCTGACCACGGCTACCACAGCCTGGAAGAGGAGCAGCAGCAGCAGCAGCACAGGGGTGTCCGCCGGGAAATAGGAGAGCAGCGCGGCGATTCCAAGGATTTGGAGCATCCGGAGGATGCGGGGAGACAGCCTGGAGGTGTCCCCGTGGAGCAAGAGGAGCTCCGGGATGCGGCTGAGGAGGGGGAAGCCTTGATTGAAGAGGAGGATGAGGACTCAGAAACGGAGCAAAACTTCCAGGTTTCGACCAGACCTGCGTGTGCGAATAAATTAATCGATTATATCATCGGGGGAGTATCCAGTGGGGAGGAGAGTGAGGATGAGGAAGACTGGGATGAGGATGATGATGATGATGATGATGATGGGTTTGACAGCGAAGAGCTGCCCTCGGACTCAGACGCCGGGAGCCAGGACGGGGAGAGGCTTCATCTGTGGAATTCCTTCTACAGTTTGGATCCCTACAACCCTCAGAACTTCACAGCCACCATCCAGACGTCTTCCAGCGATCCGGGAAAGGGAATGTCGGACATGGAAGAGGAAGAAGAAGAGGAGGAGGAGGAGGAGGGAGACTCGTGGGCAGAGTCCTCAGAGGGCTCCCCCAGTTCGGAGGAGGACGAGTGGGACTGTGACAGCGTGGATGAGGGGGAAAACTTGAAACTTTGGAACTCGTTCTGTAGCACGGACGATCCCTACAACCCTTTAAATTTCACGGCGGCCTTTCAGACAGCGGAGAAAAAAGGGACGCCGGGGTTCAAAGGGGGAGAGAGGCCGAGTTCTGTCACTGCTGAGCACTTCACCGTGTGTAGGGTGCAGCTGGAGAAACGCAGCTGCGGGCTCACCGACTTGGGGCAGCGCGGCATTCTATCCGGGGAGAAAACTGCGAATTCCAAGCGGAAAAAGGTAGAGATTTTATCCCTATTTTTGTGTTTTGGGATTGCTAGAGAAACAGAAAAAAAAAAACAAAACAAACAAACCCACACTGCGCCAAGCAGGGAGCGGGGGTGAGGTCACTTGTGCCAGCATTCCAATCCGTGCCTCCATATGTGCTAATTATTTCCCTGGAATGTTGTGCCTCATCCTTGGCACGTGATGGGAAATTTTGAGACTCGCTGGCACCGGGGCTGAGAATTTCCTCTCTAGAAATTCGGTTTTCGTTTTGAGTCCTAATTTTTCATTCCGTTTCTCTTGTGGTTTCGACGTCAGCGAAACTCCAGGGTTGGGGTGGCTTTTCCTGGGAAACTCCAGGGCTGGGTTAGATTTTCCAGTTTTTGTTAAAAGGAAATTATTTAGGACCTTAAACCGAAAGCATTTTTAGGACTTTTTTATAACCCAGCCAGGCTCGTTGAGTATTTTGGAGTAAACTGGAGTTTCCATRCAAATTGCCCCAATAATCCAATTTCCATTTAAGAGAATATGAAATATTACAATTCAGCAGTCACTTATAGAGGGATGTAACAAAAAACTGGACTTTTGAACCCAAACTGGCAGTGTAATTTTTGAGGGATTTGGGCATGAATAATAATAATAATACCTGTGCCAGGGCGCAGATAAATAGGAATTTGTCCTAAATTTTGTGGTGCTGCAGATGTTGAAGTGTATACCTGAAACATATGGATGAGTACCAAAATCCCTGGTGGTGGAACGAGTCATCCAAACAAAATATTTATAATTCGTGTTTTTTGCAGCAGGTTTATTTATTTATTTCCCCYCTTAATTCCAATTAATAATTAATTTAGAGCACTCCCCAGCCCCTGCTGCTGCAGCCCAAGCCCCAGGGCTGCGGTTCCAGCGGGAATTTTTGGCCCAGGTGCTGTTTGTGGTCCTGTGCTGTGGTGAAAGAAGGGATGAGCTGGCTGCAATATCCCAAATGACGTCAGAGYCTCGGGAATTGTGCCCCAGGCTGGCTCAGACTGATGTAAAAAGGCTGCAAGGTGGGGACAGGCTGATGTAACAGCTCCTGAAACAGGTGCTGCAGACACAACAGAGCACGATCCTGATGTTTCCCTGGAATTCTTGGGGTTATTCCCCCAGCTCATGGCCATTCCTGCCTGGAATCCCACAGTATCTATGCTCCTCAAACCATAAAAACTGGGAGTGTTGGTTGCACTTAGGACTCAACAGTGCACGTGGGATCTGCTGTCCCTGTTCCCAGAGATCTTTGGGATCAGTGCACCAGGATCAGGGAATTTCTGGACCTTTAACTGCTGATTATTCCTGGAGTCAGCTCTTCATCCTGTCCTTGGATATGACCAGGTTTGGAGCAGCCTGGGATAGTGGAAGTTGTCCTTGYCCATGRAATGAGCWTTAAKGTCTYYTSCAACCCAAACYAGTCTGGGATTCCATATTTTCCTGTTTTCTGGGAAAGTTGAAAGCTGCCTGTACCACAAACACCCTCCTCGTTGTGCCAGCATCAGCAAGTTATGTTAATAAATCCTGGGAAATATTGGAGCAGCACATTTTTTGCACCTCTCCATGTTTTTTTTTTCCTGCTTCCAGGAATATTTGTCCCTCAGCAGAGTTGTCTGTGTTTTTTTCAGGAATCAGTTCTGCTTTCAGAGGTGCTGACAGCTCAGTTTTGTGCCTTTTTATAGCCAAATGCAGAAGCACAAATAGTTCAGCAGGAGCCTGAAATAAACTGGGTTTAACTCAGCCTTAAATACTCCCTACAGTCGTGGCCTAAACGCTGCCAAGTGGAGATCCCAAGCATCTTAAGTTCCTTTATTTACTTAAAATCACTTAACAGCTGTTAAAAGTAGCCAAAAGTGAAAGTTTTTATGTATTTTTAATCTCCTTGCTTGCACTTCACACCCTGAAATTGCAGTCAGGCTTGGAAATGGAGGGATTTTTCTGTCACGTTGTGATGAGTGTGTTCCATCATGTAGGGATGAGTGTTCCTTCCTTAACTGTGAAGCGATTCCTGTTCCTGTGGTGACTCACAGGGCTCTTGACTCAACAGTTTTGCTTTTTTCAATTTTTTTTTTTTTATTTTGGGTTTGTTATGTAACCCCCCAGCAATCCCAGCCGTTTTCCTGGAGCACATTCCCAGCCTGGAGAGGGCCCAGGAACACGGTGTGAGCACACAGAGGCCTCAGGGACGGCCTTGAGTAACKCTGTAGTAACTGAGGAGTACTTTGGACCGGGCAAAGCAGCAGTTGGGTGCTTTTAAAGCTGAATGTGAAATCCTCTGGCCAAGGTTGGGCAGAAAGGGGGAGCAAACCATAAAATCATGGAATTATGGAGTGATTTGGGTGGAAGGATATTAAATCCCATTCCATGGGCAGGGGCACCTTCCRCTATCCCAGGTTGCTCCAAAGGATTGGAGTGTCCAGGCTTCTCWGGGAAATCCATTCCAGTCCATCCCCACTATTCCAGGGAAGAATTTATTCCTAAGAATTTTTTCTTAATATCYTATGGAAAGCAGCWCATGGAATCCTGGAATGGTTTGGGTTGGACCAAGGACAGGGACACCTTTCCCTATCCCAGGRTGCTCCWAACCCCATCCAGCCTAACCTTGGACACTTCCAGGGATGAGGGAGCCACAACTTCCCTGAGAATTCCTCCCCAACATCCCATCCAACCCCACTCTCAAAGAAAATCTCTGAACTTTTCAGCACTTTAAGGTATTTCATAACTTTTGTTTGAAAACCAAAACCCTGCCAATTTGAAATTCCATTTGCCAGCAGCATTGRGTGAGAATTCCTGACTCAAATCCTTCTTCTTTCCAGGTGACATTCCTTGAAAAAGTGACTGAGTATTACATAAGCAGCGAGGAGGACCGGAAAGGRCCCTGGGAAGAGATGGCACGGGATGGATGCAGATTCCAGAAACGGATCCAAGAGACAGAAGAAGCCATAGGATATTGCCTCACTGCAGAGCACAGACTGAGGGTATTCCATAGGCTCCAAGAATCCCATTCCCACAGGACTGATCCCTTCTAGCACCTTCAAACCCCTGGAAGTTRCGTGACCCTTAAATTAATGAAATCTCCTGAAGGAGAAGTGGCAGCTGCATGTGCTGAAACGGGGAAAAAAAAAAATAGGGGGATTTTCCTTTTCCCAATTTGCTGTTGAACACACAAATTCCCCTTTTCCTATCCTTGGAGCTCCCTGAAGGGTGAGGGRGCTCTGATTGCATTCCTGTTAATTAATTAGCACTTGGGAGAACCAGACTGCTCGGGGTTCAGTCCATTCCTTAAAAAATGCCTTGTCCTGCCATACCTTGGGAAGTGGGGACTGTTCAGTTGGATTTTTGCACTTTGGAAAAAGAAAAAAAAACAAAGCAAAACCTATTTTGAAGGAAATATTTATGGGGTTCATTCCCTGGATTTGCAGTTTTGATTTAAAATTCCCTGAGGGATGTGCTGGGTTGGTTTGTTGGTTTGTTGTTTTGTTTTTGGTTTTTATTTTGTGCTTCTTCATCTTTTCCAGCTTTTCCAAAAATCTCATTTTTAAAAATCCCTTYTTAAGGGATTTTCCCCTCTTTTTGCATGGAATAATCTGATTTTTGTGTGTTTCTTTGGCTTTTTTGAGGTGTGGATATTCCAGTCAGGCACACTGTGGAGGCCTCTGGTGCATCACAACCCCTTTGGTTTGATTTATTTAAATAATTTCCTTTATCCAGGATTATTCCAGAGGGTTCTGGCTGCTGGTGCACCAAATTCCTTGGCTTTTTGGACAAGGAATTGGCTCATCCCAATCAACAATTTAAGGTACATTTGGAGGCTGTGGATGATGCTTGAATTCAGGGAGGAAAATTCCCTGATTATTTAATTAATCTTTGCTGTAATTCTGCTTCGGGAGAGGAATTGAAGTGAATTTTTATATCCACTCTGCTTGTCCTGATAATTTTAAGGGGAATTGTCTTGGATTTAAGGAAATTTGAAGGTAAAAAAAAAAAAAAATCCCCGTTTTCTTTCCCAAAAAACAGTATTAAGTCTGTGTGTCTGCACTGSGTCACCAAGAACATTTCAGTGGGAGGGCAAAGCTCATTTATTTATATTCCTAATTTAAAATATTAAATTATTTTAGTTCAGTTCATTGAGGGGAGAGGGGGTTTGGAGCTGGAGGTTGGTGAGGGAATTTTCCAAGCAGGTGTGAGGTCACACAAGGGAAGAAAAATGGAAAAATTCCAATGTTTGCACAAAGTTGGGTGAATAAATCAATTATTATTTGTTCAGCTGGCCAGAATAATTTTCCTTTTCTACAGGGGAAACGTGAAAATACTTCAAATCTATTATCAGTGACTTTGATTTTTAATTTGGAAGAAAATTACAGGGAGAAAATAATTTATTTCTGCTTTTAATCCTGACTTTAAACTTCCAGAATTTTTGGATTTATCCTTTAATTTTACTGCATGAAATGGCTTCTTTGAGTTTAAAAATCACCTTTTTGTTGTGTAATTACAAAAAAATTAGGGGATTAATTTAATTGAAATTATATGCAGCCCAAATTCCAGCAGCGTTCCAGCTGCAGCGTTATTTTCCATCCCCCCAAAAAAATTGGATTATTTTCCTACAAAAATGAAAWTTTTAGTCACAGCCTCAAATCCTGAGAAATTCACTTGGAATTTTGAGGATTTTACTGTCTCACGTTGGATCTGCTTTTTAATTTAGGGGAAAAAATATGGAATTCCATGAGGAAAAATGTGGATTTCTGGTCAGTGGGAATGATAATCCCGACTGCCGTTTGCTGCTCCTGGGAAAACACACTACGCTCATTTTTCCCTGGATCTCCCAGTTGWTTTTTCCATGGATCTCCCAATTCCCTGGGATCTTTGGGAACCTGGTGCTTCAGTTATTTATGGACAACTCRGATTTCTTGGTGCTTGGGAGAACCTTGGGAGCGCTGGGAATCGACACCTGTTGATGTTTGCTCGGGAAAAAAWTTGATAAATTTGATGGAAATTACCAAACATCTGCTGCTTCCAAAGGGTTGAAACCTTGGAAAAAGGATTTTTTTATCCATCCTGCAGCGTTCCCACTGCTTGGAGGAGCTTTTCCCCCTCTCCAACCTCCTATTTTACAGTGGAAAATGGGATGGAATTAACACTAAATCCATCTGTGAACACCTTAGAGCTCGGTGTCCCCCTTTTCCCTATAAAATTCCTAAAAATGCTGTGTCCGTGTGTGGGGTGAGGCAGCAAAAGCAATGCTTGGAAGGGTTTTAAATCAAAACTGTGATCAGCAGATTTTATTTTTGTATCATTTCRGGAAAAGTTGGATTGGCTTTCTATGGGTTTTCCTTGATTTGTGTCCGCTTTGTTGGGTTTTTTCTACCTAAAGTTCTATTTCTGTACATAAGAAACTATTCAGGACTAATCTGTGCGTTGTAATAAAGAGATTTGCAAGATAAAATCGGATTGGTTTGGGAAAATCGATGAGAAACGGCTGCAAAATGCAAGGATTTGTTGTGGAAAGCTGTGTCATTCCGTGGGTTTTGGAATAGGAAATTCCATCATTTGGGGCTCCTGGGAAGCCAAAATTCCTGGCAGGAGCTGGGAAGGAGGAGGTTGGAAAGGTTTTGTACCCCAAAATTGGGGGTGGAGGTGCCTGGAGGCACAAAATGGGTTTTCCCAGGGGTTTCTGTGAAATGGGATAAAGGATTTTTGTGATCTCAAGCAAAATCCTGATGCCAGCTCCCTTTGGAGAAGGGTCAGTGTCACCCCAGTGTCCCCAGGGTTCTGCTCCACCTCATGCCTTGGGAATTTCTGGAATTCTGGGTGAGTTTTGGGGAGAGATCCCAACTTCCTGAAGTTTTTTATACCTTAAAAAACAGCATCGCTCAGAATTCCCACCTATGAGTACAATCTRTGATTCCCCCTCTGTGTTTTCATCCCTAAAACACTCCAGGGTTGGTTTTTTTGAATATCGGGACATAAAACTGCTGGGATAAAGAAGGAAAAATGTGGAAATTCCTGCAGTATTCCTGAAAAAAAAAAAGAGTAACATGGGGGGGATTTTTAAGCAGATTTTTAAATTCTAAATAATTCGCTGCCTCTAAAATCTGCTTAAAAATTAAATGTTGGGATTTCTCCATGCAGGGAAAAAGCTGGAAGTGGCACAATTTGTGTGCAGGGAAAGCTTCCCTGGGCTTGGCAGTGCATCCAGCTGCCATCTGGAACACACAAATCCTGCTGGGAATTCTTTATCCCATCAGCACCAGGCTGCACTTGGAAGAGAATAATTCCTTCTCCGAAGCTGCAGCTTCTCCACAGGAGCCAGGAACTCGTTTGTTGGAGTCCCTGAGCTGCTGCTTTGCAAATGAATGGTGCTGTGGAGCTGCTTTGATCCCAAAAAACCAATTCCCTCTGGAGCTGGAAGGCAGGAGAAGGCAGAGACACTGAATTCTGCCAGATTCTGAGAATTCCAGCCCCACAACCTCCTCAACCTGCTGGGCTCCCTGTGGGATTTAATCCAAGGTTTATTTCAGCTGTTTGGAGGGGATAAAACCATGGAAAAACTGTGCTTTAGTGCTGAGGGAATCAGGGATTGGATCATTAGGATAAAAATTCTGGCTGCTCT